CTGCCACCTTGTGTTCTACCTGCATCAGGACAGTCTGTGGCATTCTTTTAGCCTTGAATTTAAATTTTTTTTTGGTTCTCAGCACTCTTGTCTCAGGACAAAACTTGTGAGAATTATTAAGTATTCCAAAGAACTTTTGTGTATCATATCTATCAATATTTATCATATTGGAATTTGAAAAATTAAAATATTTAGTTCATTTAAAGTAGCATTAACAAGCCCATGCATACTAACACATTTTAAATTAAAAATAATTAAAAATACATGTTTTACAAGGCTAGGAAGAAGAGTGTATTTAGAGATTTTTCTTACATACTTCTTTACCATCTAGTCAGAAAAAGATAGGTATACTTTCATTCCTATTTCTGCATTCAATGTGTTTCTATATGTTGCTTTGGTCAAAGATAGGAAGAAAAATTCCACTTAAGTAGTTGGAAGGGAGATGGATATATTAGTATCCTTCAAAAATAACAGGTACTTAGATAATGCTGATTTTTCTAAAAGGCACTGGGTCCTTACTTGGGCCCACAGATAACTAAAAGCCGGAGAAAAGCCTGGCATCCTTGCCTTCATTTTCCAACTGTCTCCTTTGTCTTAAAACTTTAGGTCAGACTCCTGCTTAACTCTGCACATAGGCCTGTTAGTCACTCAAGGAGTGTCTGTCTAAAAACTGGTGACACCTAACCCAGCTCATTCCCCTTCAAGCCTGAAGGCACAAGGAGTAACTGAGATACCTTACTGTCAGCTTTAACAATGTCCTGTTCTAGACTCCTGAAAAAGTGCCCTAAAGTGTCTATTGTTCTAAAACTGCTGTCACCTTGGATTCCAGAGACAGTAGAGCCCAACGGGCAAATCACCCCCATGATAAGATCATCTCCCAGTTGAGAGCAATCATCTCATGGGAACTGGATAAGGACTTTTTCAGGTCATCTTGCAGAACTAGAAATGAGATGAGCAATCAGATCACATTTTGACTGCTTAATTATGCATACCTCTTACCCCTTATCCCAATTCTTGCTCTGTTTAAATTTAAAGAAGATTGGTTGAAATAAATACTTTCTGTCTACCTAGAGTGGCTATTTTGAAGCTGGGCATGGTGGTACATCCCTATAATCACAGCACTTGGGTGGCTGAGGCAGGAGGATTGTGAGTTTGAGGCCAGACTAAGCTACAAAGTGAGTTCCATTCCAGGCTAGCCCGAGAGGATCCTGTCTCAAGGGGGGACAAAAAAGGACATTTTGATTAAAACCCTTTCCTGCCTTTTTACCACTATTTTTGCTTCCTTGCTTTGTGGGTGAGTGGCCAGACCTGACATGTTAGAACTGTGATACATCAAAACTCAACAAGCAGTAATTTCATAAAGGTTATTTGCAAAGTAGAATCTGAAACAATGTGAATAAATTCTTTGTACTTATTAGAGTCAGTTGGCTCATCTTGAAATTTGAGTGGACCTTTTATCCAAGCATGGTTTTGTAACATCATATATTGATTATTTGGAAAATGTTGGCTCACTGACATATGGCATATTTCATTGTCATTTATACATGTTTATATGTATACATTCATATGTGTGGATATGTATGTAAGTCACGTTTGTCAATGTCACCCCCTATCTCATTGGCAAAGTCTAAATAGTGGAAAGCGGTCAAGTCATGGTAGCAGACTTAAATCTTCCATAATTCTGAATTTTGCTTGGAAGCTCCAATTTTATTATCCTAACAAATTGCATGCTTAGAAATTAGTTGATTTCCTTAAAATGGAAAGCTCCCTTCATTCATTTTCAAGAAATGTATATCATGTACTCAAGTGAAAGATTCCATCCTTTGGTCTTTTTTCTTGAGAAAACCAGGATTGAGATTTAGCAACATGAGGAATTCTCTTTGCTTCATCAAGAAAATTCTTAGGTGAAACTGTTTTTGAAGGTGATATTGTGAAGAATGCAGTCACTGCTAGCCAGCTTGGTGTCCCTGCCTTGATTCCTGCTAGTCACTGGAGATAATACCTAGAGTTGTTTTACATCTTTCAGTGCCAATATCAGCACAGAGAAAAAAGGGAGGAGCCAGGGATTCTTGGTTTGTGAGGGGCTTCCTGTATGGGGTGGCTCAGGCACATTATTTTGGATGTTTTTCACCTCCTGGATCCCTTGGAGAGTGTTGGGCTTCCACAGGTTTCCCTGGGCCGCTCTTTGACAACCATTGTCTTTGGCAGCATTACCTGAAGCACGCTGGCTGCCTGCTTTCCTTCCCCTTCTTTCTTTTTACACCTTTCTAAAAGCCCTGCTGTGCCAGTTACTGATAAAAAGCCAGACTCATGAGCCGTCCTCATGGAGATCATAATTACAATTTACGATGACTGCTGCAGTCCTAACTAGTCATGGAGGACCTCTCAGAAGAAGCCATGCTGAAGTGGAATTTCCCCAAAACTCCCAGGTGAGGAGTGATGTGAGAATACTCAAGAAGGGTCCTATGGTAGCAGGAGACAGTAAAGAGCCAAAGGAGTCTACTCTGAGATGGGGCTGGGGGTGTTGACAAGGGCTGGATCATGCAAGACTCTGGGGGTCCTCTTAGGATTTTAGTCCTAAGTTCACAGATCCAGAGGGAAAAGCCACACTACTATCATCTTCCTTCTCGAAGCCTTGTCTAGAACAGAGGTTTGTTTGTCTCAATGAGCTCTCTGTCTATTTGACTGTAGGAATTGTTGGTATCTGGTCAGAGAAGAGCATTTGCTGGTCCTCTTAGGCAACCACTACCTAGTTTCCCTTGGGCTTCTCAACCCCCTGCTCCTCTGCCAAGGGAGATCAAGTCTCCTTAGTTGCCTCCCTTGATGTCTCTGGGCTCACAGCAGCAGGCCTTTGGTACTGCTGGCAGACAGCAGGACGGAGACACATGCTCCCAGTCTCGATCCCTTAGGACTGGAATTCTTGGTCTCCTTCATCTCTGTATCTAGACTTGCTCTGTCTGACACTTGCCCAGGCAGAGCAGCAGCAGCCTGCTAGGTCACATGGCTCCACTGTGCCTGGGTGCATCACTGGGGGAGAACACTGGTAAACCCAGCTTGCATTCAAAGGGTCCCTTTCAAGGTAAACTCAGAAAAAAAGAGGAACAACTCAATTATTTCAAAATTCACTTACATATACTCCAGGTGATGTTTATGAGTTTTTATATTTATTATTATCTAATCCTCAAGATAAGTTTGTGAAGAACAAATTTGTAGCCATTTTGTAGATGAGAAAAGGAAACTAGTTAACTAACTGGTTGGTGGCTCATGGTCAGTGTGTGTGGTGGAGTAGGACACAGAACTTTGCTGCCCCCAAAGGCAAGGACACTGCAAGAAAGGCCAGATGTGACAGGATGTCATTTCCTTTAAAGTATTTTTTTCCATATTAGTGTGTAAATACATGACTGTTTCTTCATTTAATAAAACAACTTGTTATTTAAAAAGTGGGAGAGGGCCCTTCCAGGAAGTTTTTCTAGGGATGTCTGGCCTGAGAATGACATTGAGACTCCAGTTCATAAAAGTGCACTCTTTCTGGATATGGACATTTCCTCATCTGAGGAGGCTGCCCACCCACTGTGAGCCGAAAGGCCTTTCAGGTTCCTGTGGAGATGTGAACCCTGCTGCATTCTTAGAAAGTGCCATGTGAAACTTCACAGCCTGGAAGACCAGACTGCAGACCATGAAACCAGGTCAACGGATGATGTAATATAGCCCTGAGCCAGAAATGGGCAATAGGCTGGAGACCTTGGTTTGTGGGAGGCTTCCTGTGGTGAATGACAGTTGACACTGAGGGTGGAGTGGGGCAGGAGGGAGGATGATGCATGTATAGGCTACAGGGTTAGAATTAGATACAGTGAGCAGCCTTCCGGGATGGTAGCTTTCTATTTCTCTCCCTCCATCCTGCCCATGTTGGTGACCTCTGGTGGTGTATGGCGATTGGTGAATCCACCACTTTCAAACTCCTGGAGCTGACCTGTCTCTGTGATGTCAAGGACATGGTTCCCAGACTCTACAGGCATTCCCAGGTTGGCAGGAGTTATTGAGGGCTGAGGATGAGGAAGGAGCTCAGGAAGGATTGGGCAACTGTGCCCTTTCCCAGGGAGGAGGAACCTGGCTTATTCACAGGGCAGGGTTCTAGGAGCTCTCAGCCTGAGTTTGGTTTCAGCTGAGTTCTTCCCTGTGTTACGAACAGAACCTAGGACCTCTGCCTTCCTTCTCTCCTCCATTTTTTGTTGGGAATTCCAGGCTGTCTTTGTCTTTCTGGGAAGACAGAGTGCTTCATTCCCTCTAGTGTGAATGAGAGCCAGGCAGGCAGGAGGAGGGACCAGCTGGAGAAGGGGCAGGGCCTGGAGGCCAAGGCTGAAGGAAAGGAACTTCCAGCCATGAGAGGTGAGGAGACTGCACCCTGACCTGCGGGGTTGGGACAGCATAGGGTCTACAGGTATTTCTGAGTATGAGTGTGTTTCTTTTTCTATAGCCTCCTTCCAAAGAAGGGACTGGACTCCACCACATGGAGCCTTAGGACCAGATTGCCTCTGTCCTAGAATTGGGATCTCCCCTCCGCCTTCCTCAACTGGAAGGAATTCTCTGCATTAGATCCGTTCATGTAAATTTGGATTTTTGGTTACTCTGTTCTTGGATCTTATCTCCCTCACCCATGGAAATGGGAACAACAACTCTACATTACAGAATTAGTGTGAAGATTAAGTAAGACTGCCTGTGCAAGAGTCTACACAGGCCTTGCACACAGTAGGCACTTAGTGAGACTGAGTTGCCAGGTAATAAGATAAGTATGTTGGGCACATGCTGTGTGCGGGGAATCTTGAGAAGTCCCAGCCAGAGGAAGGCCCTCTAGAGGCCCAAAGTGTGGTGGAGGGGGCAGGCAGAGGCACCATGCAGTCTGGGGGTGCTCTATTTGAACTCTCCATGTCTCTCCCAGGACCATTGCTTTCCCAGGACTACTGACCACACTCTTCTTTTTGGTGGCCTGGGGTGACGTGAAAATGCTGCCCTGGTTTCTTGTCTTTTCCACTCTGGGTCTTCCAGCCTGGGGTAAGTTTTTTTTCTCTGAACCAAAGAACAACTGAGAAGGGTAATCCCAAAGTATCATAACAGGAATTCTTTAAATGTTTGTTCTTCCCTAGTGTGAAAGAATAGATTTATACTTAGATAATAGGACTTGAAGTCTATAGACCTGGGTTCAACTCATTGACCTACTTCCAGTAATTGTTTTAAGTAAGTTATTCAGCTCTTTAAATCTTAATTTCTCACATGAAAGTTACCAACTTCTTAAATTCATTGTGAGAATTAAATAAGGTAATGCCCATTGAAGACTTAGTAGTTTGGCAGTAAAAGCAAATAAATGGGAAGCAATGATTATATTTGCATTATTATTATGTTAATCAGAGTCTAACCTGAGTTAGGTTTATGCTTGTCAATGAAAGAAAGTTCCTTGGGGGTAAAGATGTAAATCAATACCCAGTGACCATTCCTCATGGTCCTTCACACAGGAGCATGGGCTCAGCAAATCAATCAGGAACTAGCCTGATTCATGCAGAAAATTCTAATTGCTTCTCCACATAAACTTCCTCATTGCTTCCATCAGGTAAAATCCACACAGAAGAGGCCTTTATGGTTTTAAGGTGCTTGAAAACATTTCCAGGTTGTTTTGCTGCAAATTGTGTGTGTAGATGCAGCTCAGGAGAATACGTTAATATTTCTGACTCCCTGCCCTCAACTATTGACTATCATCCTGGGGGATTACTTGGAGATGGCTTTGAAGGAAGCCATACCACCTGCTTAGAGGTGGCTCCTGATCAGCCCAGAGGGGGCCTGGGAATTTGGAGATGTAGAAGGGGCAGTGGAGAGGGGACGATGTTTCTGGCCAGAACCTGTGCCACATAATACCTGGTATTGGAGCTCTCTGAAGACGGATACAAAATGGAATCTTCTTTTATAGGTGTTTCCTCCTGGGACAAAACACAAACTAAACAGGTGTCAGAGAGGTTACAGTACCTGTTTGGCAACATCTCCCAACTCATTGAAAAAGGCAAACTGGATCTTGATGGTGAGGAGTCTTGGGGACCCACTGGGGTTTCTCATGTGGCCAGAAATGTTTCTCAGGTCTGCACAGCCACATGTGACTGTGATGGGGCGAATGAGGTTGAGTTGTAGAGAGGAGCACCCTAGGTCCTTGGGTGCAGGGGTGATGCTGGGGGGGTGGGAGTGTGTGGGAAACCTGGAAAGGAGAGAAATACCTTCTGTAGTCAAGGACTCCTGGTCTGAGGATGGAGATTCAAACCTTGGAGACTGATGGGGAGACAGAGGCCCTGCCTGGAGGGAGCCCCCAGGCTGTGGGAGATGCATCTCTGGAGCACTTAGAGCTCTGGAGGAGAAGTGTGTCAGCTAGTGCTCTGTGAGGCTTTGAAGGCTGAGGTGGGGAGAAGTGGGTGAGATGAAAATGCCCCCTTAAGTACGAGACCTGGGGCAAAACAGGGAAGGGGCTGGACAATAGGCTCTGTCTGGTGGAGGACATTCTGGAATCAGGGAGCAAAGCATCTAGGCTCCCTGTTAGGTACTTTAGGGATGAGATGCACATACAGAGGTGAGAAGGGGAAGATGTATTTACCTGCTGAAGGCCTCATCCTAGGGCTTTTCCACTATTCATACAACAGATGCAGCCCAGATTGCTGCAGCTCTGGTCATGAATGTGACAGCAACAGGGTGGGATGTGCTGAGTGATGTCCCCTGTCCTCCCTGCCCCTTCAGATGTCTTCACCATAGTCTTTCGCAAGGAGTGGGGGGCGGAAGCTGTTGGCTGCAGCTCTCACCTGACCAGGCCAGTGGATGCCCTCATCACACACCATATCCATGGACTGGAGTGCCATAACCAGACTGTCTGTAGTCAGAGGCTTCGTGAACTGCAGGCCTATCATGTCCACAACAACAGTGTATGTGACGTGGCCTACAAGTAAGAGTCTAGAGACTGGGTCTGGGTCTTTAGGCATGGTCAAAACTGCTTCAAGTTTCTTCTCCCATCCTTTCTTATCTGTTTTCTTCATTTTCTGGGTCATGGTTATATGGGTTTTATAATAAATAAAATAATCAAAACACTCATGAATATTCTATGAGGTCTCCGCCTCTGAGATCTTCCAAAAGAAGGCACTGAAGGTAAAAACATGACTATACCTTCTACCCCTCCAAACCTGGTTTTTCCAGCACATTACAGTTGCCTTTCTTGTGCCTGAGTACCTTTGCTCCCTGACAAGTCTGAGTTTGGTAAGGCAATTATTGCCACCTCCTCAAAGCATAGAGATTGTTACTTCCTCAAAGTCACACAGCTGAGGAATCATGGAGACAAAATTGATTCAAAAACTGTCTCTTTGTCTACAATAGTCTCCACCACACCACATCTATGGGTTCTTATCTTGGAGGGACACTGGTCCCAGTCCCACCTGTGGCCCCATTGGCCAGTTTAAGAGACCCACATACGACTTTTGCCAGCCATGACAGTTTCTGAGCATGGTGATGGCTTCCTGCATCAAGTACCCACTGTATGTCTGCTTTCCTACTTTGGGCCTTTCCCTCAGTCCTTGATGATGAAGGTGAGTTAATGCCCCTTTGGGGACAGGAGCTGGCGGGAAACTTCCTCAGCCCCAGTCCTTCTGAAAGATAGTTTTAAAGTTCACATACATAGTTCCCAGAAGGGTGTATGGTGTATGCCAAGGCTCAGCTTCAGATGGTCACTGTGAAGCCAGCCCAGTAACACACACTTTGTTGGGTTTCTCCCTCCAGTCTCACTTTCTCCCTGCTCCTAACTCTAGCTCCTGACATCACTTCCCAAATGCATTTCTGCAACAGTGTCCTTGTCTCAGGCACAGGGGCTATTCAAGACAGTTACCCAACAGAGAGAGCTCAAATGAGCGGCCTGTGCAGCATGCATTTTGGAGGAAGAAGAGCCATGGCTAAGGAAGTATGTGAGTCTCACACTCCAACATTGCATGGACTTCTCCTCCTTTTGAACTTTAAGGGCTGGGATAAATGACTTGGTCTCTCCATTGTCTGCAAAGAATCCATGCAAATATTTTTTTAGTGAATAAGACTTGAGCCCTTGTCCCTTTTAGTCCTAGGTAGGTGGCTTCCACTTTCAGGACTAGCTGGCTACAGTGCCAGATACCAATCTTCATTTCCTTGCTGCACAGCTTCCTGGTTGGGGATGACGGCAGGGTGTATGAAGGTGTCGGCTGGAACATCCAAGGCTTGCACACCCAAGGCTACAACAACATATCCCTGGGGATAGCCTTCTTTGGCTCCAAGGAAGGTAATGCAGCTGACATTTCTCCAAAGAGTTCTCTACAGCTTTGTTTCAACACTCTGCTGTCTTCTCAGACTTCTCCAAAGATCCAATTTGCTCTTGGAATTCTCTTTGCCCTTGACTTCAAGACATGGTGTTGTGACGGTCCTTCTCCAAATGCTCAGGCTTCCTTTTCTGTCTCCATAGCAGCTCCTCTTCCTCCAGCCATCTCACAGACAGGGATGCTCATGGATCTCTCTGCAAACTCACTCTCCTGCTCTCTTTTAGGAAAGATCTGTAAGTCACTCTCACTTCTCTCACATCTTCCTCTCCAGAACTGACATTTCTGTAGCTGTGGTAGTGCCTCCAATTTCTTCCAGTCACCTCCACCTTCCGTTTCTTGCTTCTAGATTTTCTATACAGTAAAAAAACAAAAAACAAAAAACAAAAACACTTTGAGGCCTTTAATCTCTGACTGTCTTCTACTTTCTTCTAGCCTCTTGCTGTGATCCCCGCTACCACCTGTGTACTAATGGTCCTTCTCTAGGACCATTTCTGTGAATTTGTGCATCCCTTAACAAATATCTACTTTATCATTTTCTTTCCCAATACCCTTAGAGATAGTCTAGGTAGATTTCATGATTTTTATTACCACAGGGTGCAGCTGAGTTTCAGAGAAGTGAGTAACACAAAGTAACACAGTGATGGGGTATGGATCAGAACATGAGCCCATATCTTCCATTTCCAAATCTAGGGTGGTTTCTGGCATGCTAGGGAACTCTTTGTTCAGCCTGCTCATTTATTTATTTGTATATTTGTTTTTAGCTAAATACACAAATGCTGTGTAACTCAGGCTGGCCTTGAAATCACAATCCTCCTGTCTCAACCTTCTGAGTTCTGGGATTATAGGCATGTACCACCATGCCTAGCTATTTATAGATTTTTAAAATGACTACTCATTGCCACTTGATGGTTTAGGATTTGGGCCATATTACTTCTTAGAGCCACAAACTATTCCTCATGAATAATGGGGTTAGTAATAGCATCTGCCCCAGTGGTCTGTGGTGAGGATGAAGTGAGTTACTGCAGGTTAAAAGCCTGCCTGGCACATGCCTGGAAGGCCTTTGCTGTTAGAAAACACTGGACTGTGTAGGCTACTGCTCTCTTTCACAGAGGGAGTAGATGAGTGAAGTGTTGACATGTCATTAGGAAAGGGCTTTACCCTGAGTCCCTGAGAGCTTTGTCCTAGACTCTTACCTCTCTGATCTGAAAGATGGGCTGCTCCTCCTTCTTTTCCTCCAACAGCTGTGCAGGGACTGGCAGGGTGTCTCCTTCTTCTTCCAGCTCCCTAGGCCAGACTGAGATTTCCCATAAATTGCTCTCTTCCAGGCCTCAGTCCCAGCCCTGCTGCCCTGTCTGCTATGAAGGGCCTAATCTCCTATGCTGTCCAGAAGGGCCACTTGTCATCCAGGTATATACAGCCACTTCTTGTGAAAGGCGAAAAGTGCCTGGTCCCTCCGCAGAAGGCAAGGCCAAAGAAAGGTGAGAACTTCAGACCTGTTGGTCACCCCTCCAGACCCCTCCACCACGAATTCTCAAACACCTTTGGGAGTGGCCTCTTCCCCAAGCTATCATTGCATTCTTCCTAACAGATGACTGGACGCCTTACCCTCTGAAATGTTGGGATTGGCAAACTTTGAGAGGGACTCTCCAAGACACCTCTTTACTCCTCAGGTTCTTAGAATGATAGAGCCTTGGCATTATGACTGGTGTCATGTATGTGCACTTGAAGGTGGTTCTGGGGCTTGAACTCAGGGCCTCGTGCTTGCTAGGCTATCACTCTATCACTTGAACCACATCCCAAGTTCTCTTGCTTTTAGTGTGTTTTGAGATTAAAGTTTCACGTTTTTGCCAAGACCAACCTCCAACTATGATCCTCCTACCTTCACCTGGGATTACAAGTGTGTATCATCAAGCCCAGCCTCAATAACCATTTATTGAACACCTACTAGAGCCTAAGGACATACCAAGGAACAAAATGCAAAAATCTTGAACTCCCAAGACTTCATTTTGGAGGGCAGAGAAAGACAATGAACAACCAAACAAGCAAAACACTCGATAACTCCCTGTGTAGCTATCCTTATCTCAAACTAGCAAAAATACCATGTTTTTCTTTTTATCTTTTTTCTTCTACAAAATCAGAGAAAAGATTCTGCAAGGGGAGGTTGGCACCAGTGGGAGGAGGGAGGTGGCGGGGAAAGGGGGTAGGAGGAAGAACACAGTGCAAATAAAGTGTACACATTTATGTAAATGCAAAAATGATACCTGTTGAAACCGTTCCAGGAATCAGCAAAGGGAGGATGAATGAGAGTGGTGGAAGGGATGAATTAAAGTATGATATAGTTGATATTTGATACACTGTAAGAATCTTTGTAAATGCCACAATGTACCCCCACCCAGCACAATAGTAAAGGGAAAAAAGTGTTAGGGCAGAAAAAAGCATAGAAAGGGATAGGGTGTGTTTATCCACATATTTATATGTTCATATGCTTGCATATAAGCACAAGGGTCTGAATACATAAAGTTGAATAACACTAATAGATTTAAGTGCTTATGAATAAAAGTTACCACTTACACTGGCTTTTTATTTTCCTTTGACAGTACTGAGGTTTGAACCTCGGCCTTGCACTTGCTAGGCAAGTGCTCACCCATTTGGGCCGCATGTATAGTCCTTTTTGCTTTCAGCTATTTTTCAGATAGGGTCTTGTTCTTTTTTGCTGGGGCCTGGTCTTAGACCCTGATTCTCCTGCCTATCTCTTATAGCTAGGATACAAGTGTGCATCATCATGTTGGCTTGTGTGTTAAGATGGGGTCTCATTGACTTTTTGCCTAGGCTATCCTTGAACCACGTCCTCCTGATCTTTGCCTCCTGAATAGCTGGGAACACAGACATGAACCACCATACACAGCCTTACACTGACTTTAAAGAAAGAGTTTAACATAATTCACATAATAAGGTAGATGCTATTTGGGATTTAACAAGCAGCAACATCAAAAACAATAAAGTTAATGCACACTTTTCAGTGTTTTATTTGGCTTAACGAACTCTGAAAGTAAATTATCTCTATCATCTCGAATCCTTGAGTCAATTTGATCTCTGCCTTTGGACTTGTGCCGTCTGTCAACATTAATGATTAATTTATATTGGTAGAGTCTTATGGATTCCAAGTGTCTCTCAAAGATTTGCTTTCAGAGTAAGGTATCCACATCTTGCTGCTGGGACACAGTCTGTCCTAGAGTTCCACTGTCAGGGTCAAGGTGGGAAGTCCAAGTGTGGTTCAGATATCTCAACTCCCTGAGGATTACAGTGGCTTTCCATAGTCAGGTGATTGACATAGGTTGGCAAAACTGTCCATGTTTTTTTTTTTTTCCATCACAGCTTGCCCCAACATTGTTCCACGGTCTGCTTGGGGCGCTAGGGAGACCCACTGCCCCAAGATGACCCTGCCTGCTAAGTATGTCATCATCATCCACACTGCTGGGAGAACCTGTAGCATGCCTGATGAGTGCCGACTGCTGGTCCGAGACCTCCAGTCCTACTTCATGGACAGCCTCAATAAATGTGACATTGGATATAAGTAAGTGGATCCAAGGATAGGGTGCTTCTTTTTCCTTGTGGGGAAGAAATTGAACCTTTAACCTCTGAAAGGAAGGGGAAAGGGGACCTATTGAGTACTCAGCATGAGAGACTCTTTAGGTACAACCACATTCATTTTTCCACCCAATTCTGAGTGGTCTTATTTAGGAGATAGCTAAGAGCAGTCATGGCTTTAAGCATGTTTTCCAAACATTTGTCCCTTTAAAGGCAGTATATTGACATGATGGATGCCAAGGCTGCTGAAAAGATGTTAGTGGAAGCCATTTGTGCACAAGACTGGAACCTATAGAGAAGACCATCTCAGGGCTGTGTCTGTTTCATGTAATCGGCTCCCACAACTTAGCATCTCAGGCTCTGAGCCCCTCAGCTGTCCCCCTTGTGTTACTGTGCCAGTCCTCTGCATCTAGAGACTGTAGGCCTTAGTGGGAGTCTGTCCTGTGAGAAGGAGGAACTGAATGGTATACTTCCATCTCCTAGTGCCAAAGTCTGCGATTCTTTAATAAAGAACATGTTGACCTATTAGGAGAGGAAAATTGGAAAATTCTTTCTTTTTCCTCATTAATTAAGTATACTCTAAATGGGTCTCAAAATTCTGTGACAGAATTTTTGTCCAAGAGTACTGATTTTAAAACTTAGTAACTTAAGACTGGCACTCACAGAAAAACCAAATGGTCCACAAACAAGTAGAAATTTCCTGAGGATGTTTTCAAAGCTTGCAGTGAAGACATCTGGTAATACCCCATCTTATGTCCCATAAGAAACAATCACACTAAATTTTAAGGCGCAGGACAGACCACCCTAGCCCATGTGGCATAGTCCTGCCTCTAAGGACATCTATGGCTTAGTGAGTGGAGCTGGACTTGAGTCACAACTGTCCCCAAGCCAAGGCATCTTCGTTCAGTTTGCAGCCTACAGAATGTATGCAGTGGGGCTGCTTCAGATGGATTTACCATTGCTTGGTCTGTGCTTCAGAGCTCACTGCCTTCTCCTCTGTTCCCATTTTAGTAACGACCAGTTCAGGAGAGGGGACAAATTTTCCTCCAACATCTAGTTGTTCTCCTGTTTTTCATTATGGTGGACATGTGGAAATTGACATAAATCTGGAATCCCTAAACTGGGAAATGATAGAGCCTGAGGGTTTTCCTTTCCTCACTTGGGTTCCAGAAGGCAGTCACCTACCCCTTGACTTATCTCCTCTCTCTCTCTCCCTCTCTCTCTCTCTCTCTCTCTCTCTCTCTCTCTCTCTCTCTATTTATATATATATATATAGATAGATAGATATGTGTGTGTGTGTGTGTGTATACACATATATATCCCATACACACACACACACACACACACACACACACACACACACATATCTCTTGACCTCTGACTTTTTGTGCATTTGTGTTTTTGAGACAGGGTCTCACTTTGTATCCTAGACTGGCCTTGAAATCATGATCCTCCTGACTGCTAAGATTGCAGGTGTGATTTCTGACTTTTTATTATGTCCTCTCTATTATAGCTTCCTGACCACCATTTTCTCACTTTGAGAGTCTAAAGTTAGGATTAAACAGTCACTTCTCATACGTTACAGCATTAGGCTGTGCTGTGGGAATACTATCAGATGGAGCACAGATATGTTCTTGTCTTCATGAACTGAAAAGTTTAGTGAGGAGCAAAATAATTAAAAAGTAGGTCCTAATAAGGTACATTGAGCGTTGTGATGAAGAACCTGTGGAGGATTAGTGGGAAGCTTAGGTTGCTGGGGGGATGGATCTGAAGGGCACATCAGCTGGGACTCAAAGAGAGAAAATTAGAGGAGGAAGGAGGAAGAGTGTTTCAGGCATAAAGAAAGGTCTGGATTCCATCCTAAGAATTTAGGATGTCTTTGAGGAGTTGGAGAAGTTTATTATGATCACATAGATGCCAAAGATGGGTATGTGAGAGATGAGGCTGAGTAGGCAAACATGGTTAATGCCATGAAGGATCCTATAACTTCAGTTGGGGAGTTTGGACTCACTCTCAGGGACTGAAAACAGGGTTTTGATATAAGATTTGTATTTCAGAAAAACCACTCTGGTTGTTCCTTTAGGAATAGATTGTAAAAGAGCAACAGTGAGGCAGTGAGTCCTCAGACTATAGCAATCCAAGCAAGATGAGATGTTGACATATTTAGGGTGGCACAGCTGTCATGGAGAGAAGTGGAGGAAATTTAGGAGTCAGTGTAGGTGTATGCTTAATGACTAAGTAGCAGTGGTAGATGGGAGAGTGGCTAGGAGACCCTCTAGAAAGTTTTAGTTGGTAAGTGGATGAAGTGGGTGGACTGAAGCCCAGGCTCCTGGTGAGAACCAGTGGATGGATGGGTGCTGGTGCCTTTTCCCATGATGAGATCCCAGAGAGGGGAACAGGTGAGGAGGAAGTGGGTCCAATTGTGAACTTGTGGCATTTTATGGTGGTGAAAGGCCAAGGAACTGAATTGGTTAGTTCTGAGACCATGTGTCAAATGAGAAGAAAAGAGGCTTAGAGCAGCCCTAAGGCTGCTTTTTTTCTTTAAGAAAAGGACACAGGTTGCTGAGATGAGAGAGGGAGCAACCAGAGAAGAAGAAGGGTGGGAGAGTGTAGTGTGTAGAAGTCAAAGGAAGAGAATGTTTGGAGAAGGCAATAGGTGTTGACAAGTTCAGGAGTCCAGAGAGATCATGTCAGGAAATGTCAGAGGTATGTGTGTTGTATTTAGTGGTAAGAGGCCCTGGGCCCTGTCCCTTGGGGAGATGGTTTATTTGGGGAGGTGGGGCAAAGGCAGGCCTTGAAAGCTGCCATTCCTTTTTCTTCCTTGACAGTGAGCTCCTTATGGGCAGCAGTGATGCACAGGAGCTGGATGGGGGGCTAAAATGCTCATGATAGCCGATTGTTAGAGATTCAGGAATTTTCAAGCCAGCTGTTAAATCATTGGTAGCCTAACATCAGCTATGGTGGGAGCTTTCTCCTCTAGAAGTCTGAAAATACTATAAATCAAGGTTTCCTCCCCTCCTATCCTCAATTCACCAGCACACCACTGGCAAAGACTCTGTCCTTCTTGTCTGTAACTCTGTGCTCAGAATTTCATGGAAAATATCTGACGAGTGAAGACATGAGTAAATTGATGAAGGTGAGAAACAATCCCAGAGTGCCTCCCTTTCATGCTGATCTCCATCTCCCCTCTGGTCTACTAGCTTCGTTGTGGGCCAGGATGGTGGTGTTTATGAAGCGGCAGGCTGGAATGGCCAAGGCTCCCACACAGCTGGCTACAATGACATTGCCTTGTCTGTCACCTTCATGGGCATCTTCTCAGGTAAGTGGAAGCTTTGAGCAGTAGTGGTCATTGTATGGTGTTTGAGGGAGATTGTCTGATGTGGATGACAGACTCTGATGCAGTCATCATTTTAATACCTACCCAGGCTACGGCTTCAAATTTGACATGTAACTAAGCTGAGAGTGAGCAGATGTGATGCCTAGACAGAATGCTCACTCTAAATTTACCTTCTGCATACAAAGTCAAATGTCTCTCTCTTCCAATACCTGAAGTACAAGTAAAGCAAGGAAAAGCGATCTTTGTGAATATTTTTAGCTCATCTTAGCAGGTGCATCCTCTCTTGGTCACTATGGCAACAATGCAAAACTGCTCTGCCTGATATGCCAAAGCACAAATAAAAGTGGGCACCAAGGATTGTCATGGCTCAAAACTCTTGACCACAACTTATTTATTCTCAGAGTTTCTTTTGTTGAATCTCTGGAGAGGGGAGGTTTTGTCCCTGGGGCTGGTTCAGGCTGATACTAAAATGGGCAATGGATGGCGGAATGAGTAGTAGGGACTGAGTGTTAGGTCTGGGCATGTGAAAGTGCAGGGAGACTTCTGTAGCTAAAGCAAGGTTTCCTAACCCCGTGTTATTGACAGATTACATAACTGCTTGTTGGGAGAGGCCTTGAGGATGAGTAGCAATGTCCCTGGCTTCTTACAACTTGAATATAATAAAAAAATGTCTCCAGACATTGACAAATGTTCTCTGAGGGTGGAGTAGGGGGGCTAAACTGCCCAGACTCAGCCTTTTTTACTCAGGAAAACATTGACTTGGTTTTCTGACTGTTCACAGAATGTCTTCCAATAGTGGGATAGACTAGCTTGGAGATGATAGGGTGGGGTGGAGTCTAGGATTGTGTGCTATCCAGAACAGGGCATCCTGCAACCTTATGACCAATGGACTGGCTGTGTTTTGCAGGTACCCCACCCAATGCTCTATCACTAAAGGCAGCCCAAGACCTGATCCAATGTGCTGTGGACAAGGGGCACCTAACCCCTAACTACCTGCTGATGGGCCACAGTGATGTCACCAACACTCTGTCCCCTGGACAGGCTTTGTACAACATCATCAAGTCATGGCCTCACTTCAAACATTGAGGGAGTCCCAGCTCCTTCCAAGGCTGCTGTCCTTCTTATTGGGTCTCTGTCCTCACCTCCCACCCTGGTTCAACACATGTGTACCTTTCCCTTGCCAGACTCACCTTGTTGCCCTTTGCCAGGTTGGGAAGATACTGTCTTTTCCCACTGACATACTACATTGTCCCCCAAGCTGGACACTGGACGCACACCGCCTTCTGAGTCTGGGCCTAACTTCCTCTCTCCTTACCTTCCTCCATCATGGGCACCCACCTGCTTGGCCACATGAGATGATGGACTGGTCTCTGCCATACTTGTCTTTTCTTTGGTACCCGTCCCTCTACCTGGTGCACCTTCCCCTGTGGTCTGCCGGGAAGCCCCCACCCCTCACCTGTCACTTAGACCAGGGTGTCCAGTCCTCTTCAACTCTCACATTGACATGCACAGGTTTGGATGTCATCCTTATTTCGGTGCTCTAATTGTTCATAGATGGCTCTATTCTCTCTCCTGAACTGTGAGTTTTCTGGGAGAGAAAGCAGTTGAGTTTTATTCATCCCTGTGTCCTGAGTCAGCTCCTGAGCACTGCCTGGAATTTAGCAGGTACTAGAGACATTTGTTGAAGAAAAATGAATGAGCAGATGAAAGACTGGATCCCAGTACCTGCTCATCTGGCCAGTTTGCTCCACCATCCCTCTTTGGGATGCCTTCCTGTACAGTGTGACTTCTCTTCATCCTGTTCCCTCTCAGTCTGAGTCTAGAGTTGGCTGTGGAGGCTTGTCTATACTGGGTGCTGTGTGTGCGTCTACAGTCCTGTGTCCTTGTACTCCCATACTACTCTGAGAGTGGGCATCGTGTGCTCCACCTGGACCAGGAGCTGTGTCCATACTAGCTTTCCAGTGCCTGCTGTCTGTGCTTGGCTAGGCCATGATGAGTGAAGAAAGGGCACAGAGTCTGGATGCTGTACAGCCTCCCTCCCCTGGTTTTTCATCCTACTTGTTGGAAACACACAAATGTTTGCTCTCTCTGGGTTTTGGTCTACAAAAAAGGAAAGAAGAATAAGAGGAAAACAGGAAGGATGCATAAAGGAATAAAATATGTGGTTTTTTGTGTTAAAAATTTTTACATCATCATGTTTTGTCTTATTTTAGTCTGTTTCTGCAGGTCTTAAAATAACAGAAATAAATGTAACTTTAATATTTCTTTTCTTTTTCATTTTTGTGCTGCTGGGGATTCAATGTCAATACCCACACATGCTGGAAGTGCTCTCCCACTGAGCCACATTCCCAGCCCTGGAGGTCTTTTTGTTTGTTTGTTTTGTATTACTGGGGATGAACCCAGAGCCTTGAACTTGCTAAGCAAGTGCTTTGCCCCCAGCCATTTGGTTTTTATTTTGTTTGAGGTAGAGTTTTGTTTTTGTTTTTGAGATGGGGTTTGTAGGATTAAGTGTGTTACTGTGTGTGAAGTGTTTAGAATCAGTGCCTGACCAATAGTAACCCCTCAATAGGTGACAGCTGTTACTATTTTATGACTGTCATCTTCATCACTTTGTCATATTCCTATTTGGCTCTGGCAGTTTGGGTGTACCTTCTTGAGCAGTAACCTCAGCTTTTCTGTAAAAGTTTGGTGTAGTATGGTACAAGTGGGTCTGAGACCCTTATATGAAGTAGAAGGAAAGAGGAAGGGGCCTGACCCAGACATGAGAGGCAGGTATGAAGACATCCATAATGACAGGTGGATAGATAGTTGAGGTTGCCTCTTTATGGATTTATGGGGTAGCAGAGATTTGTAGAGCCTGTAGTCAATGATTTTCAAAATTTTAATGTTTTCTTCAGGTGAGGATTTACATGGACTTGGATTGAAAATTACATGTGTTTTGAGATCCATAGTAAGAAAGGGCAAGCCAACTATGTCAAGATCACATAGTGAGTCACACAATGTAGATTACATGCAAGTCCCATGTAATCCCAGTAGCATCCCTCTGATTCTGCTGCTGCTTTAATAAAACATCTTCTAAGGCTTCTTTTCCAATACAACATAATTTCTTCTTGAAGTGGCAATAGAGATCTTCTCCCAGTTCAAACTTACTTCTGTTTGCATACCCACCAGATCAAAGGGAATTTTTCTATTCTCTAATCTCACTGTGCCCTTCTAACTTCTGTGTACCTGTAGAGTACTTGCCTAGCATGTGCAAGACCCTGGGTTCAATCTCCAGCACCACAAAAATAAAATAAAATGATAATAAATTTTAAAAATGACGTAGTTATGGATAAAAACTGTAAATTAGTATCACAAATTAAGCTAAAACATGAGTAAAATGATACAAGATAAGGAAGAACAATTAGGGCTGGATGTGGTGGTACCTGTAATCCCAGTTACTCAGGAGGTAGTGGTCAGAGGATCATGGGGTCTGCTGGGCAAAAAGCTGACTCTATCTGAAAATCAAACTAAAAGCAAAAGGACTGGCGCATGGCTCAAGAGGTAGAGGGTGAGAGGCCCTGAGTTCAATTTCAGGTACTGTTCCTCCCTGAAAAATGAAAGAACAATTATTGAGAATCATAGATGCTCAGAAATTGAGGCAGTAGAACTCAGGGGAGATAAGAAAGAAAACAATCATTTTATAAATAACCAATAAAAGGAAGGATTATTATTATTATTATTTATTTATTTATTTGTGGTACTAGGGATTGAACCCAGTACCACTGAGAGATGACCTTGGCCCTTTTGATTTTATTTTGAGTCAGGGTCTCACTAAGTTTGGCTGGCCTCAAACTTGAGATCCTCATGCTGCAGCCTCCTGTGTCACTAAGTGTAGAGGTATGTGATACCATGCCCGACACAAGAAGGAAGTTACAATTGGGTAAATATAACAGATTTATCTAACCTTGACTAGGTTTCGGTGCTGTTGTGGTCACTAGGTGGGGGCCACTGAAGTCTCTTCAGATGGGTTATTTAAACATAAAAATAAAGCAAAGCAAAACAGAGACTTATGTGCATATAGTCAAATCAGTACTCTGTTCCTAATCCCAGGGCAGAGAACGAGTCTATGTCCCTTTCCATCTGTACATTCTGATGATGCTTCTAGGAGGGAACTTTTTTCTGTTTAGATGACAATTGATGGCTTTAGGGACTTGGTTTTATCCTCCCCTAATCAATAGGATGTGATAGAGGGTTGACACATCAGCTACACAGAGTGATTGCCCCAGGTTCTCTTCCTTTAGCTCTGAACAATTATAGACTCCTTGATAAAGGTGCTCACTAGAAAATGTGGACCAGGACTGGGTTCTAGATTAAATTTTGCCTGACCTAGTCTGTGGTGTTGATAAAGTCTTTCCCTCTCTGAGGTTTAGTATTCTTTTCTTTGGAATGAGGAGTTTGGCTATTTCTAGAGTTGACTTGAGTTTTCAGATACAAGAGTGTTATGAACCTTCACGTGTACCTACCTGAAAATCCAAGTGTACCTGCTGCCCCACCAGCAGAAGAGCCCCTGTTCTTGAAATTGATTCCTCACTTGCAGGATCTGAAGTCTACAGAGGTCGTAGATTTTCAGGTCTTATATATTCCCCCCAGCTACCTTCTCACCCCCTCCCTTCATACTCTGTCACCTCTAAGATGCTTTCTGCACCCATAAAATTACTTTATATTATTGTCTGCAAACTTCCTGATATTTTAATTTCTTCTTCTCCTCCTCCTTCTTCATTTTCTTTGATAGTACTAGCTTTTGAACTTAGGGCCTCTTGCCTGCTAGTTAGGCACCCTAACACTTGAGCCACACCCCAGCCCTTTGGACTTTAGTTCTTTTTTGGATAAGGTCTCATTTGCTAGGTCTGATGTGAACCATGAGCCTCCTATTTATGACTCCTGAACAGCTAGAATGACAGGTGCGTGCCACCACACCCACCTGTGATGGGGCCTCACTAACTTTTCGATTATGTTGGTCTCAAACTAATTCTCCGGATATCCACCTCTTAACCTGCAGTCAATCAGCCTTCAAAGTGCTGAGATTATAGACAATTCCACTGTGCCTGGTTTTCTTGACACCTTCTAACACATTCTCTGTTCACTCACTCCCATGTGTGTCTTATCAGCATGGCTCAAAGGTCCTGCCCTTTGGTTCAGTCCACACCAAGGCCTGATTACCTCTCTGGCCTCTAGGCTTCCCTCACACTGAGAAAACTCCTGTTATCTTGGCTCCTTTAATCTTCTCAACTTCAAATACCTTCCCCTGACTTCATCTCAGTTGTCCCTAGTCCCAGATCTTATCATCGATGGGAAATGTATCACCTCTTAACTGAGAATACTGTACATTTCTTTTGTATTTCCATTTTGTTCTAACATTTGCACCTCTCCCAGCATTTCACTTCTTGCTAAGCCACAGGACAGTAGATTAATAGTCCATTTAATAGTCTCCATTCTTGCCTTAGTAATCCATTCTCAGCCTCCTCATTCCTCCTTAAAATTCCTTTTGTCTATCTTTTCACATAAAACACAAGTTTCCATATTTCACCTTATTGTTGTAACAATTATTGGTGTTTGAGCTTGTGGCCCACAGAATATCACTAACTCTTAGGAAATGAAGTAATTCTTGTGTTACTTAGTTTTGAATGATGAGCTTCACATAAAGCAAACCGTGGTAGTTTGTGGGCAGGAGAATGGAATGAATAATGGTTTTGATCTGAAGGAATTCAGAGGGTTGAAGCAGCTGGGAGACTTGGGAAATTCCTAGTAAGGGAAAAAATAGATTCAAAAGTCCCCAAAGAGTCTACACTGCCACCTTCTGGGCTAATCAATCAAGACAGCTGTTAACTTTGGAGATGATTCATCAGGTAGACCTTATTCATACCCTTTCATTATTTCAAAATGTTTTCTTAGTGTGCTTTGCTTGGCATGGTGATAACACTTGGGGTGCAGTTAATGAAAGGCTCGTGCCCCTCTGGAGGCTAACGTCTATCAGATATGAACTGACTCACCTGATACATTATGAGGTGATATTAAAGGGCAATGTTATATAGGGAGTACACAGG